CATGGACAAATCTTTATTCTATTTCATTAAAAATACTTCACTAAGAAATATGATTTTTTGTATGTGAAAGACTTGTTATATTAACTGAAAGACTGTCAAATTTTGTGATGATATACACTATATTGAAAGTTCGAAGCATTAAATATATAAAGACTAAACGAGTACAACAGATCACGTGACTCGGTCAAATTGTCCCACCCCATAGTGAGAGGGTTCAAGTAAATCCATATCATTCTTTAATACTTATTTTTAGAAACATGGAAAAAAGTATGAGAAGCCAAGATAGTTTCTATTCCCATTAAATAAAGTATCCCTCTAGTTCAAACGTTTCGGATACTGTCAGCCTTACTCTTGGCTGATACAAATTTTAATATAAGAATATACTGTTGAAAGCTATATTTTCAATGTTTTAACTAAGATGGTAGGCAGAGGGCGTATGACGTTCAGATCAAACAAGTTCATAAAAGTAGTCCTAGAATACTTGGAAAGTTCATGATGATTTTGACTCAAGAATCTTGTAACTTCAATAATAATCAGACGTGGGTACAACAGTGAATGAGAAGTTATTTAAGTTTGTTCAGAGTCCAGTAAAGCATTTAACTTTAATAAGTTAGTGAAGTATTCGATGTGTGAATATTTAGTACTAATAGTAATAGTTGTTGACCGAGAGAAGAATGGTCGAGTAAATTTATTCAGTAACTGAGTAAGCATTAGTGCTTGTGTAAGCTAATCAGTAATTAGTAAGCATTTATTGTAAACCAAGGAAATTTCTCTTAAACGTTATTAGTGTATTATACCTACAGTAGTTTCAGACTTTATGTCAAAAACATTTATCTTTGAAGTTAGGCTTTCAACTTGCGTGAAAGTGGATGTAGCTTGTACTTTGTAGCACTTTATTGAAGAAATAAACTAATTCCTTATCTTTTCGTGGACTGTACTTCGCGTTACTTTCGCTAAATAATCTAAAAGCTCCCGCCCAACCATAGAACACGTTACAATAATAAAACGTTGATTATTAAGTTTACTGCAGCGTCTAATTGGTGTATCGTACAACTGTGAATGATTACTGTTTCACTTTCACTGTTTCAATTCTTTCTTCCACTTAGCCCAATTTTATGACTGAAAAGAAATCAGAGCCACTAGAAAAACAAAAGTACTATTATGATCACGTGAAATTTATACATTGTTCTCTGAAAAGGTCCCACGCTCGCTCGCGTTTCTGGTTCACCGTACCCGTGCACGTGGCCAATCAGTGCAAATTTTGCGCCTAAAGTTGTTAGTTATGGTTGAGGCAAACTGGGGGTAGAGGTAGGTAGGGGGGGGGGAGGTCCACTGTCAGAAGGCTTTTTATCAAAGATCAGAAAAGGAACGGTGTTGCACAAGTCTGCTCGTGCAGAGAACTTCCGTTATTCGTGTGTTCAGCAGTCGTTTCATTTCACAACCGGCAGTCACTTGCCACATGATGAAGAGGGATTTAAGTGACGTGGACTCCGACTCTGACGATATCTTTGCTGTGGTTGACACCAAAGGGTATATTTCGATTTTGTTTTACATGGCATTTTAAACATTCCCAGCTGTAATCTAAAATCAACAGCAGAGAAATATACAGATGTTGAAAGTCAACACTCGCTGTTCATTGGACTGTATCATTAGATAAGTTTTAAGTATCATAATATAGATACACATCCAACGATAATTCCCTGTCAGTGATGTCCATAGGTGTAGAAAAATAACCAAGTTAATCCTTTGTTCTTTCTTCTACGTAGGAGTCCAAGCCAGAGTAATGATGAGTACCAGCTTCTTAATCGCAAAAAAAGGCGAGGAGTAAGTGAGTTTTATCTTTTTATTCCTTCATAATTGAATTAGATCCATCGGACACAAGACTTTGTAAGTAGAGAGTCTTATAGCATAGAAAAAATCAGCAAGCAAACACGTTAATTATTTTTAGCAACTTTTTTATTGATTTTTTTACCATGTTTAGAATATGGGAAGAAACAAAGGAACGTAAGATTGTAGGTCTCTATCATATTTCCAAACCTCTGACTTCAAATTCGTGTTTTTTTTCTTGACAACTCGCCTAAACTTGAAAACTGTTAAAGAATTCCTGTCGATTACTTACGAACAACTGAAAATAATAGAATTTACATTTTGTACAACATATCTCCGTCAAACTACCAAAACATATAAATAGAGCTAAATTTTAAGTAACCTGCATTTATTTTATCACTCGATGAGAATCGAAAAGGTACATTGTTTGTTCTAAGTACTTACTGTACAGCTTGTTGTTCTAAGTATTTACTGTACAGCTTGTTGTTCTAAGTACTTACTGTACAGTTTGTCGTTCTGTTCAGTTTTCGACTAGATTCATTCCGTTTTAATTTTTTTTATACACTTGCTGAATTAGGGATCAGTTTTTTTATATACACTTGCTGAATTAGGGATCAGTTTTTTCATACACTTGCTGAATTAGGGATCAGTTTTTTCATACACTTGCTGAATTAGGGATCAGTTTTTTTATATACACTTGCTGAATTAGGGATCAGTTTTTTTATATACACTTGCTGAATTAGGGATCAGTTTTTTATACACTTGCTGAATTAGGGACCAGTTTTTTCATTACACTTGCTTAATTAGGGACCAGTTTTT